TGTAGGCTTTAACTTTGTGGCTGGTGTCTCTTGCCATATCAATGCTTCATATTTTATATAATCATCCAAGAATAAAGTGACCTACCTGCATGTCTGTATCAAAATTTTCTCCCCAATCACTTACATACTCTATTAACCTTTCTTTTCTATTTATTTCCTTTCTTATTTAAATTTAATTTAATTTCTTATTTAATTTTTTGCATGAACCTACTTCTAGATCCTCTAGTCTGCTTCTGATCCTTCTTTCAATTCATCCACCAGATCACATTTGGAGATATTTTCCAGCCTTCCTATTTCTAGGAAAATACATTTTGGTATCTATATCTCATTAAGCAAATTTCTCCTTTTGTTTTTTTTTCCCATTTTTTTGTAAAAGTTTGTTTTTATAACAGCTATTTTTTAACTTAACCCTATTCAAAATAAACTTCAACTCCTACTATTTTATATTTTTTATTGAAATATATTTTTTATTGAAATATTTTTTATTGAAATAACAATGTTACATTAGTTTCAGGTGTAAAATAGTGATTCAACAACCCTGTACATTATGCTATGCTCACCACAAATGTATCTACCATCTGCTATTATAATATCATTGGCTATATTCCCTTTGCTGTACTTATCATTCCCATGACTTACTCATTCCATAACTGAAGGCTGCATCTCCCACTCCCCTTCACCCATTTTGCCCCTTCCCACCACTACTTTGCTTTCTGGTAACCACCAGTTTGTTCTCTGTATTTATAGGTCTAATTCTGCTTTTTTGTTTGCGTATTCATGTTATTTTCTAGATTCCATATATGATTGAAATCATATGGTATTTGTCTTTCTCAGTCTGACTTGCTTCACTTAACACTATACCTTCTAGGTCCATCCATGTTGTCAAAAATCGCAAGATCTCTCTCTCTCTCTCTCTCTCTCTTTATGGCTAAGTAACATTCCATTTTATATATATACCACATCTTTATCCATTCATCTACTGATAGCCACCTAGGTTGCTTCCATATCTTTGCTAGTGTAAATAGAGCTGCAAGAAACATTGGAGTGCAATATACCTTTTCTAATTAGTGTTTTTGTTTTCACTGGGTAAAGAGTAGTTTTAGAATTACTGGATTGTATATGTTTCTATTTTTATTTTTTGAAGGAAACTCCATAATGCTTTTGACAGTGACTGTACCAATTTACATTCCCACCAGAAGTGCACAGTGGTTCCCTTTTCCCCACATCCTCACCAATACTTGTTTTTCTTGTTTTGATACTAGCCATTCTGACTGGTGTGAGGTGATACCTCATTTAGGTTTTGATTTACATTTTCCTGGTGATTAGTATAATTTTTTGGTTCACAATTTTATGCCTTTCTTGAATAAAGCATTTCAGTTGTGTCAAGAAGGTCATATACTGTTATTTAAAAAATATGTGAGACAAAAGAAAATCTCTATGACATTTGAAAGGCATAATTGCAATAAATTGCATGGGAATTTATTGTATTACATTTTATTTTAAAAAATATTTTCCACATTAAGTAAAAACCATCTATAATATATAAATTACAACACTTCAATAATTTACATTAACTAACAATCAGAGTAATGCATTTAATTTTTATGTTGAACATAAAATGTTATTTTTTATTTGGTTTTGATTTCAGGTTTGCAATGATATGCTTAATTGTCACTGTGATGTTGGATATTCTCCTCCACTTTGTAGACCATCACGAACATCACCAGGAGGAAGTATCAATGATGGGTTTTGGAGTAAGGGAAGTTAGTATCTAGATGAGAGTGCTTCAAGGAGCTTTCTGCCCTTACAGAAATGGTCTACATCTCCACTGAATATGTGGCTATAGAGCACCTGACATACAGATAGTGCAACTAGGAAACTAAGATTTCCATTTTTTTTACTTTATTTAAATTTAAGTAGCCACTTGTGGCTTGGTGGCAACTATATTAAACAGTACAGCTCTATAGCATACTGCCAGTCAAAATTTTGTATATGCTTTTAGTTTCACTCAAGAAGTGAACATTTTAATAGATCTCTGTTAGTTTTAACCCTGGTTACCAAAAACATTTATATATATATCAGAATTTTCTAGATAGGTATAGTTAAATTATACAATAGGTGATAGTTTTATTATATACTCTGCATATTCCCAGAATGTTAACTATCATGATGTGCTAGTTTGCAACCAAGTTGCATCTTTTAAGTTTCCCTTTTCAAAAGGGAAAAGTAATCAGATCTTCCTTATCCATTGTGTATGGATAGTAGATGGTACAAACCATTTTAAAATTTTATTTGGTGAACATTCATAAACAAATATAGCATAGTTGTTTTTTTCTAAACTTCACAATGTATATATCTTAACAGTATAATTTCAATAATGTTTTTACATCATTTGCATTTTTACTTTATATTTTATTTATATATGTTGTAAATCTGACAGTACATTATTATATTTGCCTTAAATAGACAATGGAATTTTAAAGTTTTTTTTAATATAAATATTTACATTTCCTCATCCATTGTGGCATTTTCAAGAACTTTTCAATTCTTCCAGCACATTCAAATTCCATGCAGGCATTTTCTTTCCCTCTGAAAAACTTCCCTTTGTACTTCTTTCTGTTTTACCTTATGATGAGCAATTGTCTCAGCTTTTGTTTTTAAACTGTTTTTTATAAAAATGTCTTAATTTGTGAAGAGTATTTTCACTGGAATTAGAATTCTACATTGAGAATTTTTTCTTTCAGCAGTTCAAAGATGTAATCCAATTGTATCCAAGCTTACATTTTCTGATGAGAATAGTGTCATTCTTATTATTCTATTCATCCCAATAATATAATGCTTCCTTTATTCTCTGTCTGAGTTTCAGACTTCTTTTATATGTTTTTTATTTTATTTGTTTATATTTTATATGTTTATATGATTTTCCACAGTTTCACTACAATTTATCAAGACATGTTTCTCTTTGAATTTATCCTGCTTGGGTTGGCTATGATTCTTGAATATATAGCTTACTGTGTTTTGGGAAATTTTGAAAAACCTCTTAGCTGTTGTCTCTTTTTAAATATTTTTTATTAAACATATTTGCATTTAAAAAATGATATACAGTGACATTCACTCTGTGGTATATAATTCAATGAGTATTGAAAAAATGCACATACTCTTGTTCCCACTGCCACAGTCATGATACACAATAGATCTATCACCTCAAAATGTCCCTCTGGCCACCCCTTTGTATTCATTCCTGACTGCCAATTCCTGGCAACAAATTACCAGTTCTTGTCTATATAGATTTGTCTTTTCCAGAATGTCATATACAGTACATACAAATTTGAGATACATTTCTGTTGCCATGTTTTAATAGGTGC